GCCAACTATATTTGATCTTACAAGTCATCTGAACAATCCCCACAGCAGACATAGAAAACGGATAAAAGAGCTGGTAAGTTTGTAAAGTAAGTTTGATTTGGCTTTGCTTTAATGTTAGAATTATGAAAACAAGTAAGTTCATGTGAAATTTAATATGAAATGTCTAATGATTAGCACTTGGGTGTTTTCAGTTTCTGTACTGCTATTTGAGTATAATGTTACTGATTGTAAGTTAAAATCTAAATGTTACACTGAAGTTTTATCTACCAGAAGTTTAATGGGATAATCTGGAAAACAAGAGCTGATTGTGTCTTGCAAGGGAAGTGTGTTGCTTCCTCTTACTTGTCATTGCAGTGCTAACTGGAAAACACCTTACAGCTGCAGCCCTGCAAATCTTGCTCTGTGTTGACTGTTTCTGTTTATCTGAGTCACTTCTGCAGCTCAGACATCCTTCAGAGCTCTACAAATACAATCTAGGTGTAAAAGCAAGGTCAGGCAATTTCTTGTGGAACTGTAACTTGTCAATGGCTGTTTTGGGACACTTTGTGTCTTTAGGTCTCTGTGGATTTAGGTAACTGAAAATTAAGATGAATTTAACTCTTAAACTGTGTTTATACATCAGAACCACAGACAGATGCATTTGATAAGTGTTTATTAACTGAAACGTAGAAAATAATGGAAGGCTACTGCTATCAGTATGTGTTTGTAGTAAAATGGAATTCTTTGATGTAATTGATTTACTCATAATTGTAAAATGCAGATTGAACAATCTCCTGATGTATGTATGGGAACCTTAGCAGTAGTAGCAAACCATTCTTCTGCACTTAATAGATATGTGTTGTGACAGCAATAAACTACCTGAAGAACCTCCTTCTCTTAGACCTTCTAGCATGTTTTTGGTAGGTATTAACACTCTAAAAATGGTCTCATCTGCAATATTTGCATCTGACCTTGATATATTTCAGTATTTTAAAGGGATCATGTGGTAGACAATAACATCAGTATATCATTTTTTATTTTTTTTTTTAAGAGTGAAGATGAAATAAGAACACTGAAGCAGCAAAAGAGTAAGTGGACAAAATAATGAGTTCATAAAAACATTGTTTACTAAGGCTGATAAGAAACTGTAGGGCACATAAGTGTAGATTTATTTATTTGTTCAGGAGGGTAATTTAGTTGCTGCTTGATTCAGATAGTTCAGCTCATTGCAATGTAGTCAGTCACTTTAAAACTGGAAAGATTCTTCTCTGGATTCCAGTAGCTTAAAGGTAATATGGATAGTAGGGGAAAGCAAATGTTATATTTTAGTTGTCTTAACACTTACAATATTTTGTATTTTGTAGTTAATGAAGCTTTTGAACGAGAACAGGCAACTCAAGAACAGAATGAAAGCAGTGCACAAAATGCTGTCTCAGAGGAAGGTGGGGAGCAGCAAGAGGAGAAATCTGTTCCTTTAACTCTAGAAGAAAGGGAAAACAAGGATTACCTTAAGTCATTGTTTGAAATTCTGATCCTCATGGGTAAACAAAATATTCCCTTGGATAGCCATAATGCGGATGAGCTTCCAGAAGGTATTTTTACTTCAGATAACTTTCAGGCTCTGCTGGAATATAGAATCAATGCTGGAGATGAAGTTCTGAGGAAACGATTTGAGATGACTGCAGTCAATCTTGAGTATTGTTCGAAAACGCAGCAGAAACAAATGCTTGAGATCTGTGAGAGCTGCATTAGAGAAGAAACATTGAGAGAAGTAAGAGACTCGCACTTCTTCTCTATTGTCACTGATGAAGTAGTAGACATAGCAGGAGAGGAACATTTGCCAGTCTTGGTGAGATTTGTTGATGATTCTCATAATCTGAGAGAAGAATTCATAGGATTTTTACCTTATGAGGCTGACCCTGAAATATTAGCTGTTAAGTTCCATACGACTATTACTGAAAAATGGGGTCTGAACATGGAATACTGTCGGGGTCAAGCCTACATCGTCTCCAGTGGGTTTGCTTCTAAAATGAAAGTTGTGGCTACAAGACTCTTGGAGAAGTATCCACAAGCTGTGTATACTCTGTGTTCCTCTTGTGCCTTAAATGTATGGTTGGCAAAGTCAGTTCCTGTTGTTGGTGTTTCCACGGCCCTAGGAACGATCGAAGAAGTTCGCTGTCTTTTTAGTCGATCTCCACAGTTACTGGTGGAACTGGACAATACAATTTCTGCTCTTTTTCAGAACAACGAGGAGAAAGGTAATGAGCTGAAGGAGATCTGCCGTTCTCAGTGGACAGGCAGGCATGATACTTTTGAGGTTTTGGTGGATCTCATGCAAGCTTTGGTACTGTGTTTGGACGCAGTAAGCAACGATTCCACTGTCAGGTGGAACAACTTCATTGCTGGTCGAGCATTTGTACTTTCAAGTGCATTAACAGATTTTGACTTCATTGTCACTATTGTAATTCTGAAAAATGTTCTGTCTTTTACGAGAGCATTTGGAAAAAATCTCCAGGGACAAACATCAGATGTATTCTTTGCAGCTAGCAGCTTAACGGCGGTGTTGCATTCTCTGAATGAAGTGATGGAGAATATTGAAGTTTATCATGAATTTTGGTTTGAGGAAGCAACAAACTTGGCTGCAAAACTGGATGTACAAATTAAACTCCCTGGAAAATTCCGCAGGTCTCAACAGGGTAACTTGGACGCTGAGTTAACGTCGGAAAATTATTACAAGGAAATTCTTAGTGTCCCTACAGTGGAACATATAATTCAAGAATTAAAAGATATATTCTCAGAACAGCATTTAAAAGCTCTGAAGTGTTTATCTTTAGTGCCCTCAGTCATGGGTCAGCTCAAATTCAATACGTCTGAGGAGCATCATGCTGACATGTACAAAAATGACTTACCTAATCCGGACACGCTTTCTGCTGAGCTTCATTGTTGGAGAATCAAGTGGAAGCACAGAGGAAAGGATATTGAACTTCCAGCTACTATTTATGAAGCACTTCACTTGCCAGACATAAAGTATTTCCCTAATGTATATGCATTGCTTAAAGTCTTGTGCATTCTTCCAGTGATGAAAGTGGAGAATGAAAAATACGAAATAGGACGAAAGCGCTTAAAGGCGTACCTGAAAAACACCGTGACAGAGCAAAGGTCAAGCAATCTAGCTTTGCTGAACATAAACATTGATATAAAACATGACTTAGACTTAATGGTGGACACCTACATTAAACTCTATCCAGGTAAAGTGGAATTTCAAGCAGACTTTCTTCCCTCGAACAACTCTGAAGTAACAGAGAGCGCTTAATTTTTTTTTTTAAGACTGATTAAACAGCTTTTTGCTATTTAACTTGCAATGGGGGGGGGGAAAAAGACTTGGAAATCTGAAATAAATAATCACCACAATTGTATTTCCATTTTTAGGTCTCAGATTTAAGAAGCTGTGGTCAATAACCCACGTTATGTTTTGTTAGTCTGTATTAAATATACTATGTGAACAACAACAAGTCTGAAAATAAGCCCATGTTCTTTGCAGAGGTGCTTGCTGTATCTGATTGACTTAACTGGGTGCTTGCTTGCTGCATCTTGAAAAAAGTACGTTGTGATGATTGTAGATCTGATGGGGCTGTTACAATATTTGCTCATGAAATAGGTTAAGAAAAAACTGAAAGTGTTAAAAAGGGTATAATCCATTTCTGTTCTGTTACTTAAAATTTGACTTCATGCTTTTTGAATTTGTCTTTGGCTGATGCCCATTCAGTTGGCATTTTGGAGAATGAATTCAGCAGTTGCACAGGCCTCATGGTGTGGACTGTTCTTGGTGTGAAGTGAATGTTGGTGGTACAGAGATACGTTTAAGGTTTCACTGGAAGAGTCAACCTCTTTAATCTTCTGACTGTTTACATTCCTTTGTGTGAGACACACAACTTTAGGCTTTTAACAAGCATGGTAGGAGTACTGAAATTCCCTAAGGACTCTAAAAAAATTAACACTTATTCCAGTACAATATAAGTCTGTTTGACAAAAAAAAAAGAAAAAAAAAAAAGTGAGTCTTATTGTCTGTTTACTTGTGAACTCACCCAGGAAAAATTAAAATAAGAGTTCGTTGTTTGTCTAGAAGTAAGATTGAAAATATTGCTGTTATTTTTGGCAAGAATGAAACATTTTTGTACAGTTTATTGCAATTTAAAATAAAATGTGAATTGCTTTTTACACGGTATTGAATTTATTGGTAAAGCGGTGCCTCTTTGAGAATGTGTATACTTGTGTAAGGTACCTTTTAGTTTGGTCGTCTTTGTTTTGTTTTGTGATCCTAGTGAGTCACCTTGTCTTAAGACACAGAAAGAACTGTGTAGTAACGTGTGATCTGTATGTTCTGCTGGAGCTTTTCTAAAGCGTTTTGAAACAGTTTTAACACAGCGTTCTTAATTGTGGAAGTTCTGTCTAACTGAAGCAGTGGCAGGTGGAAATAGCTTTAACTTGAATGACTGAAAAGTTTTGTAGCTTTCCCATGCACGCCAGTTGTTTAACTTACAGTTGTGCTTCTATGTATTTTCTTTCCAGTGGAGGAAAACCCCCAGCAACAGAAAATTGAATGACTGTAGAGACAGTGATAAATACAACTCCCATTGTGACCACAGGCAAGCAACAAATTTGGAAAAAAACCCTACAACACTTTAGTTCTAGTAAACCTAGTTATTAAAATGGTTATGTATATCTTTAATGTTTTCAGGAGCTTTTATTTACATTGATGTAGCTAAGAATTGCTTTTAAAAGTGTTATCATTTCTTTTGCTGCTGTTTCTATCTGATATCTGGCATGCTTTCCTGTTCATGCAGTTGTCTCAGCTAGAAAATGTAATAACCTGTAATAGCTTGTTCTTTTTCTGAAAAGGATATATGAAAAAAAAAAAAAAAAAGTTAGAAATCAGACAGAAAATGGTTGTTTAACATCTGAATTACAATCTTAATGATGGGGGGGAAGAAAGGACAAGGGTTAGGGGGAAAATGCTTTTCTATCCTGGGAATGTTTGTCTCTTCTAGTAAACACGGTGATGTGAGGTGAGCCTTGTACCAGTCCTCTATCAGGAATGCTTTAAGAAGGAATAAAAAAAGGTGCAGCAAAGTGACTTACTCCAATTGTTGGAATCCTCACTGCACAGCAGACTGGTTGAGCTCCCTGAGTCTTTTGGCAGCAGGCAAGGTTTAATGCCTTGTGAAGCAAATTGGTTCCACCTAACTTCTGTTTCTGAGCTGTAATAACAATTGCAGGCTCATTTGCTATCTAAAGAAGCTGTCTAGGTACATCAGAGGGCTGCTACTTTTTGTCTTTTCATTTCTGATGAGACAGAGACCACAAAAATTGCACTTCAGCTGGTAAGATCTGTTGCTTGAGTATAGGCATACGTGCATAGTTAGCCATGGAAAACTGATCCCTAGTTCCATGTGATTGACCAAAAGTGCCGAAGATTCTTTCTGACTATGTAAATAGGATCTTTTTGACTGATGTACAGAGACAAATGGGAGAAGAGAAATGCAGTAAAACACCCATTAGCTACTGAAATGTCTTCTGGAGCCAAACTGTGATTAGCTTTGCTAATTAGTTGGCTCCAAGTGCTTTGATTGGTTGCTGTGCTTGATCATCGCATGGCCTTTCACAGCAATGCCTGGATTGTAATCAATCAAAAGCTCCCTACTAAGGCTATTTGAATTGTTCCTTTGCTGCAGAATACCTTGCTTCTTTTTGATGTCAGCGCATCACTTGAGAACCTGTAGCAGGAGGTCTGAACGGTGGCTTTGCAATATCTGTAGGAGCAGAGAAATAACAGGTGGCAATGGTAGGTAGCCCTCTGATGTAAGGACTGTGTGGAAGAAACCATTTCCTGAAAATACAGTGGCTTCCATCTGCTGGAAGTGCAGATTGGAGACAGCTGGAGGAGAATCCAATGATACAATATCAAAGAGAATATTACTGCTAGAGCAGGCCGGAGATTGATAGAGAAGTAACTGAAACTGAGAGTAATACTGAGGATAAGCTTTGGTTCCATTTTTTAACAGACTTTTGAGACAGGGGGAATTGTCAAATAACCTATCATTACAGATCAGTACAGGACAGTATGTGTTTCCAAGGTGCAACTGAGGTATTTGCCTGGCTTTGACCTGCCTTTTTGGAATACTGTATGTAACAAAGCAGTATGTTTTCCTCAATTGATGGTATTTTGTGTAAATAGTGCTTGTCTTAAGCATATACAAACTCTTGCCTTTTCCCATGCACAAAGTTTTTGTTAGAATGTTCTGTTGCTCCTTTCAAAAGTAGCATGTAGCTTCCTATCTCCTGTAGTGCTTTTTCTGTCTGGCTATAGAAATGTTTTAACAGCTTGTCTGGCTGCCAAAGTTCTGCTGTAAAGAAGTAAAGGACCAGAACCACTTAATGATTCTGGGTGCAACTATCATGTTCCCCATGCACTCCGTTTATGTGAAACACTGCAAATCTCAGAGTTGCCAGAAACATCCAAATTAATCTGAAAGGATGAAAATAAATCTCTTTACTGGATCTGTTCCAGGCAGCAGTTCCTAATATAGAATAACAATAGGTGTTATCCCAAAGTAGGCTTAATATTCAATAATTTCCAGACCTCTAATGTTCTCCTGTTTCCCTAAGGGAAAAAAAAAAGTCTTACGAAGAATCATTTCTACATATGTGTAAGCAGTGAGGCATCAGCAAAAAATAGAATTGGGAATTGCAGATAGTTCTACAGCAGTTTCAAAATACGTGTGTGCTTATTATATGCTGCCCTTACTTTGCAAAATTTTGTTGTGTTCCATAACACTGTAATTGTACACTTTGTTATTGCCATAGGTTTTCTTTTTTCCTATTTATTTTCATGTAGCAAAGCAGTCTTTTCATAAAACCTTAGTTCTGCGTCTTTTCTGTTTTAGCCTGCATTATAGTTACCCCTGGGAGTGTCTTTGAAGGCAAGGCAGGTACTTGTACAATTTATTCAGTGATACTGAGGATCAGGAGCAGTGCCCTGGTGACAGAACAGGACCTTTGCAGTTCCCTGCTCCTTTTTTGCAGTGTCCTAAAGTTAGACATCATCAAGCAAACAGTCTTTGTGACTACCCAGGTAATCTTACTATAAATCTTGATGCTTTTGTGTTGCAGTTTTGGCTGAAGTTTTGCTTAAGATTCCCAGCTGCTCTGTATAAGTGTTAACTGGCATCAAAATCTTAGGAAAAACAACTTAGTTTCCCAATTGTAGATCTTGAGGTACAGACAAAAGGTGGCTTTTACCAGGTCATCATGTCCTCCAGCTTCACCTGCACACTGTCTACTTCAAGCATTCATGACCACATCTTCCACCAGCAGGAACTCTGTAACAAAGCATCTGTAGGCACAATGAAGGTTCCTTATTTCATGTTGTGAGCCTGCAAGCATCCCTTACAGGCAATGGTTAGAAAGTAGAGGCATATGACAGCTCCAGCTCTACTGAAAGATAATGAGCAACAGTGATTTACATTTTAAAATTTGAGATCCCCATGAATGCCCAGAATCTGCTAATATTTGCAGGTGTTCTGTGGCATTTTTCACTGTGAGGTGGCTACTGAGTCTCCAGTCATCTGTGACAATTGACAGTTGAAGCTTGAACTGGAAAAGTGCCTTTATTTTCTTACTGTTGGAAGAGCATCTAGAAGGTCTACTCAGCAAGATGATAACTCTGACATGGCTCAAGAACTGCAGTGGGATTTTCTTGTAGGTGAATTCTGGCAACTAAAAGACTTCAGTTTTTTACTGTCAACAGGATGTGGTGTTTGAGGGGAAGAACTGAATGCCAGAGCCTTGCTGTTTTGTCTCCTTTTATCCCTTTCATTTCTAGCACTGAGGAATTTCAAGCTTTGTGGCTGGTTCCTAGTGAAGCAGCAAGATGCTTCTGTACAATGTATAGAAATACCTGGTATTTATTGTACCAATTCTGAAGAAGCAGGTGGAAATTTCTTGACCATTCCTTCATTCAGTCCTCAGATTCACTGAAGCAGAGGGCATCCTTAGCATCCACCACCACAGGAAATGCCTGCTCCTCCTGAATGCAGTGCTGCCAGGTGTGAAAAAAGCTGTGAATAACCTGCAGCAGTGATGCTGGTCATCCCAACAAAAGCTGATGAAGACTCCTAAGCTCTTTCCTGAAGTTTGTGAGATGGAGATTGGCTGCTTCTTGTTGTATAGTTGAACAAGAACAATTTACCAGTAATGTAGATGGAGAACTTGTTTTGCTCATGTCTTAAGGATCCTTGGAACAGTTGCTAACCACCTGCTTAATATCAGCCTTTGGATTTGAAGTATTTAGTGAAGTATCTTTCATGGCAGGTCCAGCAAGCACTGGATAAGTGAGAGTAGATAGTAATAATGAGTGTATCATACCTGTGTTCCTATGAAAGTGCAAAGTGAAAATAAGAAGATATCATACACAAGCTGCACTGCATGGTAGCTGGGACTCCACTCGCAATCTCAGGTCCTCAGTCCACCTCCAAGGGAATGTAATCATTGTCCTTAGAGCAGGCTACAGAGGGATGGTACATGCAAGTGCCTGGTGCTTCTCACAGAAGCAGGCCAGTTCCTTACTCTTGGCTTGTGCATACTGCACTTTTTGTGTGTGTGGTTTTTGTTTTTTTTTTATGGATAAGAATGGGTGGCACCAATACAAGGTCAGCTGTATTTCACTGTGAGTCTTAATCTCCACTTTTCCACAGCACGACTTCATTGCCTGGTGTAGACATGTTTGGTAGAATATGCTCCTTGTAATGCATGACTCAGTGTAAATTTTTATACTGCATCTCTCAATTCTAGCATCCAGATGCTTGTAGGTTAAGTTGTGTCCAGGAACTGTCAGCACCTCTTTAGATCAATTGTCTGAAGGTAGATTTCTTCTGCTTACCTTCTGTTGTGTTGGCTGTGTCTCTTTGGGAAGGGCTGGTTTCCACTTACGGGTCTCATCAATCGCTAAAACTCTTCTCCAAATGATCAGCATTGACCAATGGATTGGCCTACGTGGTAGGATGCTGAATTTAGCAATGGGGAGTGAGAAAAAAGCCAGGTTTGGGGAACAGGACAGTATGCAACTTGCCTTAAGGTTCCAGGCAGAACTGATTCGTTATCTTTTCTTTCACAGTCACGTCTGGTGGAAAAAGGCTGGCTTTGGCTGCTTGAAGCCTGTTTGCAGTGCTCTCCAAATCCTGGAGCAGATGATTGCCTAGCAAAGCTATATTGAGAAGAATTAAGGAAGAGCTCTTGGATGAAGTGGGCAGGCCTGTAGGACTTCCTTAGGGAGACCTGGGAATAGAAAAGATTGGAGTATGAGTTGGCTGAACCTCTTCTTTGGTTATTTGGTCAAACTTCCAATCTTGAGCCTCTCAGATAGCAACTTGAGGCAGTGATTAACATAGTGATGGATGGGAACACATCACAAGGGTGAAAAGAGAGAAGACACATTTGCAAGATCCTCTTGCATCCTGCCAGGCAAATGTACTTGGTACATCCTTAGTGCTTTCATTTTTCTTTACGCCATCTTTACATTTATCACATTTGGGAGATAGAGATGGCAAATAGTAACTGCTTGCTGAGAGCTCTGTTTTGTGTCTTCAAAGATTTGGTTGTTTGTTTTTTGTTTGTTTTATGGTTTTTACAGCTTTCTCTCTTCTCTCCCTATACCTGGAAGAACAGCAAGGCACAATTCCCCCTGATCCAGGATGCCTGAAGAGCAGTAGCATGAGCAACCACAGAAGACTGTGTTTGCAGGGAATAAAGAATGAGAAAGGGGCCACAGCTAAACAGGCAGCGCCTTCAGGAAAGAGAAGCTGCTTGGGAAACAGTCTGCAGTCCTTATAGAAAGAAAATTCCCTAGCATGAAGGGAGATGGACTGGTGATGCTGGTGGCGGTGATGCTGGTGATGGAGGAAGGATGTTGGTGAGCTACCGGGAAGGAGGAAGAATTGGTTTGGAGAGTGTGGAGAACACAAGAAGGTTTGTGAAGTTCTTGAGAGAGGGCATGGGTTGTTTGGTGTGTGTTGCTGTGAGCCTGTGTGCATCTTAGAAGTAAGCACAGATGGTTTCTTGACCTCACCATCCCCATCCGCCAGCCTGTAGATCAGAGCTGTGCTGGAGAGCTTTGTACTGCTGACACAAAGTGTGTTGGAGGCAGGATGATGCTGCTGGAGAAGTTAAGCCCATGTGTGTTCCTGTAGACCCACCATTGTGCAGCCAGCTGAAGTTACCTTTGACCTAAACTGAGAGACTTAACAAATAGAAGGTGAATCATCTGTTTCATTAAATCAGAGGCCGCTTCAAGCACTGCAGCCCAATTATGCCACATGTTGCACATAGCCTGAAAAGTGTTGGTGCAGAAATAGGATCCATGTGGGCAGATCCTTAATGGGGAACACATCTTGCTGAAGAACGGCCTCAGATATCTGCCTGCACAGATCAGGTTAACAGGATTCAAACCTCAACTCGTAATTTATAGTGTTGAGCAGCCCTCAAGAGGAGGGAACAATCTGTAGGAGGTACAGCATGAAGTGGACAGTACAGTGATGTGCATTTCCCCTCCAACAAGCAAGGCTTGCTGCCTTTGCTTTGGTGTAAGGCTGTGTGCACCAGGAATAAGCAAGAATATCAAGGTCTGGCCTGGATTCCTCTCTTGAGGAAAGAGACAGATGATATCATTGTTGGAGTTGTTTGGACATCACAAAGGTACTTACTGAAATGAGAAAAATATGGTTTCAATTCATTTTGTAATAATAATAACATAACAGAATGCTATGAGGGCCAGGAACCTCACTGAGAAAAGAACCTTTGCATCCTGAAGAACTTTGCCAAATGAATAAGCATTTGTAAGTCACTTTTTAATTCATTTTTTGTATGTATACATATGTATATAACATATGCAAAGCCAGATGTAAAGAAGTTCCTTGCTTGTCTTGCTGACATCAGCCTTCTTGTCCAGCTATGATGAAGAAGCAATCCCATGGTGAAGTGCACACAGCTCATTCCTGCAAGACTTTGCACTACTCACAGCTTCTCCTGAACCCTGCACCCTAAGATCCAAGCAGAAAATAACGAGCAAAATATTAGCAAAATCCATGAGTCTGAATCACCAGTTTAGTCTTCATTCTGACTGAAGAGATGAAGTGAACATTGGCTTTAAATTTTCAAGTACAGCCAGCTAAGCTACACCTTCCAAACATTGTGCATAAGGCAGGGGGTATCCTGTTCAATGTCAGAAGAGATGGCAGAAAGCTTGGAGGAATTACTGCTTGGCAGGTGAGCTAAGCTCTCTGCATTTTGCTGTTATAAACTTTAACCCCCTAAGTGTCTCATCATTGCAGAAGATGTGTTTATTGAGAAACCTGTGGCTTCAATGTGGTTTGTTAGCCTATGTAAAAGCACCCTTCTGCATTACTATAAAAGCTGGATTTGGAAAGTGCTAGTTATATATATACAGAGTTCAGGTATTCCTGTATTTTCTAGACTGTTTCTCACTGTAACAGAGGGACAAATGAACAGATTCACAACTCTAATCCTGTGTCTTTGCACATTTCAGGCAAGAGAAAAGAACGAGAGCCCAAATGCAACTGGCCAGCTGGGAGCACACTGCTGCTCCTGCAAAGTTCTTCAAGGAGAAATGCTGACACAGCCATTTCCAGCACTATTTGCTGCTGCAAGGAATACTTAAGGTACTGCATGCCTTGCTGCTTCGTGGTTCTTCACGTTTCACTGCTGTTCTTTTCTCCCAGCACTGATCTCTGAATAATTGTAAAGGGGACAGGTCTCTCTAGGGCCAGGTGCAAATTTCTACCCTGGTATGATGTATGGTTTTACACCTAAAGGCTTTCTTTTAAAAGTGAGTGTTGCTGCATGCCTCTACTTAAGATTTCTCAACTGGATATGCATTGAAAGGCTACTGTTTTTAGACAGCATTCAACACCGTCTGTGGAAAGGAGCTTGAAAACAGTGTCAGGGTGGGCATTCACAGTTCAAGGCATTGAAAAGCACAGGTTTCAGAAATCTTGGTCTAGGAAGAAAGTTCAGCATCTGGGTAGATTGCTGGGTCTGTGTTTGTTTTGCTACCTTGGTATTGTAATGCATTCCCCAGGTGGCTTTCAGGAGATAGTGTAACAAAATCTTTCCAACCAATTCTAAAGTCTGCGTTTTTTGATATGTCCTCCCACCTTTTTAATTACGGTTTTGAGAACCCCACTGGATTCCATTCCATGAGCTAGTACATATAAATATTACTTTTCTACTTTACTCCATTTATTTTCCCCTTCCCAAATGTAGCCCAACAGTCCTTCATACTTTTTGTCTGCAAAGTTGCATGCTTCTTCCAGTTTGCGCTGGTCATCGCTTCTATCTTTACTGAATTCTTTTATTCTAACTATGATATATTTGCAAGCGATATGTAAATTTTGGTGCAAAGATATTTTCCTTCATAGAAGATCTATTTATTATTTCTTTATGGTCAGTAGAAGCAATGTTAAGAACTGATGATACATAGGCACACTTCTTGGATGTACTGGGATGTGGCTTGTTAGTAGGAACAGAGATGAAAAAGCAGCTGAGTCTCCAACAAATGGTATCCTAAGGAAAAAAAAAAAAGGATTTGGGACATTGATAGGAAGTGAACCAAAAACTGCAACAAAACTCCCTTGTTCAGGTGCTGTTGTGTCTCTCTCCACAGCAACAACATTCAGCCCTGTCAGAGCAAGTCTGGCAGTTGACTGTAGTTGTTGTGTAGCTGGGAATTGTGCTGCTGTTGAAAACTGTGTATTCTAGTGCTGCCTTTCAGTGTGTGCTATTAACTCCTTTCACCTTGGCTCTGTGAGATGCTATAAGCTTCCTGAAAGAGGCAGACATTGAATTCTGCTCGTTTTCAGCACTTGGATGTACTCTCATCGCTTCCCAGTTCCTGCAAATTCCATTTAGATTTACCCTCTGCTGTGAATACAGAAATCAGCCCTTTGTATAAGATTATCAGTACAATCCTAAATAGCATAAACCCCCAAGGGATGCTTTACACACTGACTATAGCAACTTGTATATTCCAGATTCACTTGGAACAGTTAATTATCTTGCTCTGCTTTTTCTTGTGTTGACCACTTTGTTGTTTGTAACAGTAACTGCTGTTTAAATTGAAGACTTAGCAAGCCTTCACAAACAACCAAAACACTGCTACATTTCTCTGCTTCTTTGCTCAAAGATCAAGAACACCCGAAGATTTTGCAGAGTATTGCCCACTGTAGTCAAATGAAGAGCACGCTTAGAGGAGGGTGTTGCAGCAATGAGGGTTAGTAATTGGATCACATGGATCCACACACTTTGCTGCTTGCACTTCTTTATTTTCTCCACACTGACCCTCAACTTTGAAAGTATTGATTTGTGTCATGTTCCACTGTGCCTAAATCACAACTTGCACTACATGTGTCCTGCTGTGCTGTGCAGGTCTCTGGTTGCTGCGGGCACACTTTGCCCTGTTCTCTGCCCTGCTGCAAGCATGGGAAGCAGGAAGCTGCAAGTGATGCCAGCGCTGCTGATTAGCTGGGGACTTAGGTGAACTCATTTTGTATACAAAAAGCCATGTAGATATATCCATGGGTAGTCATATGACTTCAATGACTAGAATATTTTCTGTGTCATTCACCTAATTTAGAATCCCTGTTATATAAGGCCCAATCATCAGATATGTTGTTATGACCTGCATCTAGCTACACAAAATATTTTCAGTGAATTTCCCAAAGCTCTGACAAGTGCTATAAAACAAAGTCTCTTGTCCAGTAGACTTATAGTTATGGCACAATGAGAGACAGTGGAAATAAGACAAACGAAGCATCAACAGGACAAGAGGTAGTGGCCACAAGTTGTGCCAGGAGAGGGTGAGGTTGGATATTAGAAAAATTTCTTTTCTGAGAGAGAGGTAATGCATTGGCACAGGCTGCCCAGGGAGGTGGTGAAGTCACCTTCCATGGAAGTGTTCAAGAAAAGGGCTGATATCACACTGGATGACATGGTCTAGAGCAATCACAGGCATTGACTGATGGTTGGGACTTGATGTTCATATTGGTTTTTCCAACTGTAATGATTCTATGATTCTAAATAGAAAGCACAGCAGTGGTGAGTTAGTTTGGGATAAATGAACATGCAGTTGATGGTGTTTGTGAAAGCTAAATGACAACCTCTCCTAATAACAACATGATTTTGAATTCACTCTCAGCACTGGACGAGAAAGGATCACCGATAGAGGAACAATCGTAGAAGCTCACGCCCTGTGGTTTTAGTTATAGGCATCTTCATCTCCTTTTACAGCAGTGACAGCAGTTTGCAAATGGTCCTACTTCTCCTCTTCCTCATTCCATTGGCATTTGCACTGTAAGACAGAGTATCTCTGCAAAAAAGGTTAGAGATAGGAGCACAGAAAGAGCAAGGGTTGTTAACATCCACTTGAAATATCAAATATCCACAGCTGACTCAGAAACCTACCTCCTGTGTTTATCTAATTACAAAAAAAATTAGGATAGACATTTCTTCATTTTTAACAAATTGGCATTTCCTGAAGTATTGTGATACTTTCCCTGAGCTAAGTATGGCTCCACTAGGATTTTCATTTCCATTCTGGTAATATCTTATTACTTGTAACAATGGTGCTAGGTCAGATAAAAACATGTCTTGCATTCCTTGTCGTCCCAGAGCTGCTGCACAGTAGATGTTTCAGTGTGCTAAATGCACAAAGAGTTACAAGTATGCAAGTCTTTTCCCTTCCCCTCTTTCTCTTTCTTTTCATCTGAATATCTCATAGCCAATACAGAGTAAGAACTTCTGGACTGGGAGGGAGTTCAGGAACAGAGCCATAAAACAATTGGTGTTTTATATTCAACAATAATCTTGAATAATTTTAAAAATTGTTTTTTAAATAGATGAATCTGGTGGGAAGCATCATTTTATATATCACTAAATAGAAGTCATAGTAGAACAAGCTTGTGTGTGGTTGGACATATTCAAAATGATTCAGCTTAAAAAACATTGAGTTTAATTTATACACAAACCATTCAGGAAAACAGCACAGTTCACAGATAGTTTTCCAAGTTTACAGAAGGCTGAAAACTTTGGATGACTGCTGTTTAAACCACACAGCTGTGCTGACCAAATCCACCTCATTTCCATAATATGCACTGACAGAAACAGCCTTCTTTATGCGTTGTTTTGTTTTCCAGTTTATTGGATTGCTCATCTCATTACGGTGCTGAGCATCACAGCTGAGCAGCGAGCAAACCCTTTGTCTTAGGCTGGGTTTTTCTTTTTGTTTTGGGGCAATTTACCTATAAATAAGTTGCAAGTGTTGCCACAGAAAGGGAAGGGGAAGAATATTTTTGGTATTGGGACAGCTTGGCATTGCTTTTCCAATTGGAATAAAAGTATACGTTGTGCTACAGAGAGTCACCTTAGATCTTAACGTTCTTAAGGTTTTCTTCTGTATTAGAAAAGCAAAGAGCAAGAAGGAAAATGATATATTAAGGATTAAGATGGCAGTAAAAGCTTCTCAGTAGGAATGCATTGGGCACGTTAGTTTTGCTTCCCACACAGGTGAGATCCAAGGTAGACATGAAGTGATTGTGTGTGCAGATCTCCTGGAGACTTTGAAATGAGTGCATTTCAGAGTAGGCTTTCCAGATGCTGCAATTAAATCTTGAAAGGTTCTATAAAGCATTGATGAATCTTTACAAGGAAATGCAGATCAGCACAGCTAAGTGGGAAAGTGGAACTTTTTTAATGCTCTCAGCACTTTGCTGTGCTTGTTTCTAATACATGAGCAATGTTCATGTTGATCATGTGATATTATTTCACTGCCACTTCTTAATACATGATACATGATTCAGCTCAAACATTTGTCTGTTCCCAACCACACAAATTCATGTTGCAGTGGAGGGAGTTATTAAAATGAAGCCCTCACTGTGTTACATAGGACACTTTAACCATTGCTTCCACAAATTTCTCAGAAGGACACCTCTTTTGCTTAAAAGTACTCCCAAGTATTGAAGGCAAAGGAGGCGGTACTGTGTTCAGCAGGCACCTTTCTGGCTCTATATTGGATATGTTTGCAGACTTTATGGAATGAATTATGCCCATCTTTCATCATGGATGAAGAGCTACTGGTGCTTCCCCGTTTTCTTCACAGTGTGTCATTCCATTACTGTCATCACACCAGATCAGGACAAGAAATGGGAGCAGAGGCACAGGACTGCTGATGTGGCATCGTTAACTTCCTAGAGCTGCTGTAGCTTGCAGAGCTTGGCTCCTGCTCCCTGGTCGCTTTAGCAGAGCCCTTCCCTGTTTTTTTTGTGTTTTTTTTTTTGTTGTTGTTTGTTTGCTTTTTTAACCTCCAGGATCCCTTTTTATGGGATGTGTGACTTTTTCCATAACGCACTCCAACAGAGCTGCTTTGATCCTGCCTACCAGAAAGATGACCCACAGATCTTAAGAGCTGTTTGCTCAGGTGTGTCCCCTTTTGATTCCATAAAATGCTTCATTTCTCAGTCTTTCTTCTTTATTTAAGGAGAGAGGTTATTCAAGTGAATTTCCACAATGGGTTTTATTTGGCTCCGAGTCCTTTACTGACTTGATTGCAGTGCTGCTGATGCTTTTCCTTCAACGGGGCAGTTGTGACAGGTTGGAGCACCTAATT